CCCGTGCAGGCAGCAGCGGCTCCTGCTTCCTCAGCCCTCTTGTTTACTTGGTAGAAACTTCAAACCGGACGTGTTTAGTCACAGAGCAGAAATCTGTTTCTGTCTATCCGCCAAACCGATAGGAAATACAGCTTCAGTGGCAATACGGACAGGCACCGCCTGCCCTTTTTTTTTTTTTTTTTTTTTACTTTCACGCCTTTTTTTTTTTTTATCCTTCTTCTAACTGCTGAAAAGCAGAGCTTGTCAGGGTGCAAGTGACTTTTTCAGGGAGCTATGAAGAAATACTCCACATGTCTGGCTTGGGTGTGAAAGTCCCAGGAAGGCATTTTTCAGTCCCTGAAAGTGTCAGATAGTGCTCTTGCTGAGCATAGCTCTGCTGGGTGTACATAAATGTTGTGCTTTCCCCTGCGTAGTTTATAACATATTTGACCAAGTGAGCTGTTTCATTCCCATATTTCAGTGTATAACTTCAAAGAGTAGGCTTTTGCAGTACACATAAAGATTGGTCAAACATATGGTATAGAAAATAATAAAAACCATATTTTGTGAATAAACACACAGGGCCTACAAGGAAGAGGTAGAAACATGGGCTGTGAAAAGAAACAAATCAGTAATCCAGAAGGCCACTGAGACAGGATGCTTGGCTACTTGTTCCCTCCTTTCAATAGTGTTTATTCTTCCCAAGCATATGATTAATACACTGGTAATAATTGTGGTATGCAGTCTCCACTGCAATGCTTGACTTCAGATTGCTTGGAAGGACAGTTCTTGTTTACAAAACACCATCACTGCACATTTTAAAGCCCCTTTGAGATTTCAGGTTGCTTACATCCAGGTCACCTCAGACAGGGTTGACAAAAATCTTCAGCAAATTTTTGCAGAAGGGAATCTTCTCACTGTATGATTTCAGAATACTGCTCCAGCAGGTCCTGTTTGGCATGACCCCTGGTTGTGACTTACTTTCTGCCCTGATTGGTTGAAAATACAAGTTTTAAAGGTGTCTCATTTGCTTCATTACAGAAAATCAGCAAAAATGGGTAAAGGTGATCCTAAGAAGCCGAGAGGTAAAATGTCTTCATACGCCTTCTTTGTGCAAACCTGTCGGGAGGAGCACAAGAAGAAACATCCAGATGCATCAGTGAACTTCTCAGAGTTCTCAAAAAAATGCTCAGAACGATGGAAGGTAGGAATGGCTGCTTAAAGAATAAAAAAGCCACAAAACCTTAAATGACTGGTTTTTTGAATACCATTCAAGATTGTAAATTATTTCTTTGGGAGCTCAGGTTTTGGGTAAGTATGAAGTGTAGTTGTAAAGTGACTGGTAACTATCCGTTATCCATGTCTTACCTTAGCTTCCCCAGCTGAAATTTTGGAAAGGGCTTTGATATGTTTTTGAAATTAAAATACTGTTTTTGATCCTTACGTGTCCCTTCTAAGGTACTCTGTGATTCTGATTGCCTTGCAGACTATGTCTTCTAAGGAGAAAGGGAAGTTTGAAGATATGGCAAAGGCTGACAAGCTTCGTTATGAAAAAGAAATGAAAAACTATGTACCACCTAAGGGGGAAACAAAAAAGAAGTTCAAGGATCCAAATGCACCGAAGAGGCCTCCGTAAGTAGATTCCTAGCTGTAGGTTGTCTGTTTGGGACCATCACACTGGTGTGGATCTATAAAATGGTCATTTTATCCAGGAGCTTCAGAAATACAAGAGTGTATGATCTTCCTCACCAGTGGTGTAAAGATAGGTTGAGATTTTAGTTACAAATGCTAAGCTTTTATTTTCAGGTAGGCGATCCCACTATCAAAGTTGGAGTAATGGCAGCATTTAAAAGTAGATGCAAAGATAGACTATGTGTGATTCTGACTGATTCTTCAAATTTCTGTTAAGAGGGTGATTCCAGTGTAATATGGCAGTAAAGTACTGCTTCTACTTGGCTTGAGCAGAAGTTTTGATTTGCAGTCAGTTGAAAGTTGGAGGCTTTTGCACAGAAAGAGTTTGAGGGGTGATCTTCCTCAAAACCAGCCTGGAAAGTTAAAACTTTAGCCACAACATAATGCCAGCTGGCTTCAAATTCATCTTCTGGACACCAGCACTTTATTGTGTGTGTATGTCTGTGTTTTGTACTGAGCTAATGCTGAAAAGGACAGGGAAGATCCTTTACAAGCTATGTTCTTGCTTGGCCTGGTGCTGTGGTACTTTTCTAACAAATATTGCAGCCTGCCACCTCTAACAGTTCTGACATAGCATATGCTGGCCTAGCATCATTGACTTAGTCTAATTTCTAAAGTTTTTCTCTGTGTCTGGTGTATAAAGTCTGCCTGTCTGGGGATTCTGCCAGAAATGGGACCAGATGTGCAGCATTACTTAAGAGAAAAGGGTGCATTGAGTTTGCAAAGTGGCTCATTCAGTTCTGATACCTTCCATTGTAATCAGTGTCTGTCTCACTTTTAGGTGCCTTTTCCAAAATGCTCTTAAGGAACAGCAGCAAAGGCCCCAAAAGTTGCTGCTGTAGCAATGTCTAAGATTTAAATAATCTTCTTTTATTTTTCCTCTGTAGTTCGGCTTTTTTCTTGTTTTGCTCTGAGTTTCGTCCAAAAATCAAAGGAGAACATCCCGGTCTGTCCATTGGAGATGTGGCAAAGAAGCTGGGAGAGATGTGGAACAACACCGCCGCAGACGATAAACAGCCTTACGAAAAGAAGGCTGCTAAGCTGAAGGAGAAATACGAAAAGGTAACCCTGACATTTAGGCACATGCTTTGGGGAGGTCACACCTCAGTTTTCTGGACGCTTTTTCCCTTACTGTGTACCCTGATACCTGATGTAGCAAATTATAGAATGCTAATGACGTAATTCATTAGATTTGCTGAAAAGGGCTGTATGCAGGGGCACGTGATTCATTGGCATAACAGTAAATTGGAGTCCTTTGCCTTGAGCTGTTTGCATTTGTCTGTAATTTTGACCTGTTATTGGTGCTTGAATAAATACTGTGGGCTCTGTATTGTTACTAAATCCATAAGTCACAGCAGAATTTGAGTTGAGTTGGTAGCAGTAAGTAATGCTGGTAAGGAATGAATTGGCTCTCCCTAATTTTGGAGATGCTGGTAAGCATCCTTGAATGTTAGAATAATTGATACACATAGCTGATTTTTAAAATATACTCCTGGTAAAATGACAAAACACAAAATTAGATAACTAGTTTTAGGCATGTGTTTTTCCTGGACCTACTTTGTGTCCATGTCCTTTCTAGTAACGAATTTGGTTAATTATGCATATGAAGCAGCTTGTCATACAGTTTTTTTAATTATTAAGGCTATACCCTGCCATCCAAATTGGAGTTGCAGAATTCTGTTGTGCACACAGGACTGTGCTACACGTGGTTTTATTTCTAGAGGCAGATTCCCTGGAGCCCTGTTGATGTGCCAGAGAGGAGTTGCAGATCTAGGAGCTTTCCCACATGATGCTTTCTGTACAGCTTCATAGTAATTGCAACTCAGACAATTTTTAAATTATAGAATTATTAGTCTTTATTTGCAGATATTATTTTAATTTTCTGTAGTAATGCCTGTATTTCTTGGACTTACATGTAGGATTTTAAGGGGTAGTAATCTTCACTATTTCACTGCTTGGCCTTTGACTTAGTGGGTATAATATCTTCTCAGAATTTCTTGCTAAGTTTAAGGGAGTCCAAGAGAGCAATAAGATTAGTGGTATAGTGTTTATTAGGTGGGGAATATTTGAAGATTTGGACCATCAGTGTGAATGTGGTGATGTTTCTCTCTAGCTGGTGTGTGTAAGCTTTGTAGATCAATTCTCCTATCTAATGATTTTACTGTTTTGGCATAAAGTTGGGAAGTCTTGACTGTTTTTATGACTGTGCCTTCGAGGTATGGTTTTAACTTCCCTGTAGCAGGAACTGAATTTTGTGCGTTTCAAACGACTGGAATAAATTTATTGCATGCAGAAGGTGGCAGTGTCTACCCTTTAATCAAGTTCTTATACCTTTTATTTAGTAAACTTCTGTTAGGCAGGGTTCAGTCTAACTGCTCTTTGCTGAGGCATAACATTGCAGCTGTTAGGCTGGGTCATTCCGGGTGGCTGATCCCAGGTTTGTGCCTCAAACGAGGGTTTCCTGTGCGTTTGTTTAGGCACTGTAGAAGGTAGGGCTAGAAAGGGAACTTAAGAGGTCTCCCTACTCCATTTCCTTATGGGATAGTGGGCTCAGCTGTGCCTTTACCATCAGAGGTAGCCGCTTTTCCAGCCTGTTCCCAGAAGCCCAACAGTGGAGATTCCTTAGCAGCCATAAGCAGTGTGCAGCAGCATGCCAGTGTCATGTCTGTGTTAGAGGGTTCCCTTCCTGTTCCTTTGGCTTCAGTTCAGCTCAGAGATGAAACCACAGCTCCCTCCTGGTCGTGCCCCGGTGGATGTGCACAAGGGGCAGGTCTGAGGTGGATGTGCAGAAGGGGCAGGTAGCTGGGTCTCTGCTTGCACAGCTGCTCTGTGGAGGTTGCTCAGACCTCTTGGCTGGATAAGTCTTTGAGAGATTGTTCCTGCTTTTCTTCTCCAAGGATATCGCTGCATACCGGGCCAAAGGGAAGGTTGATGGAGGCAAGAAAGTAGTTGCCAAGGCTGAGAAGAGCAAGAAGAAGAAGGAAGAGGAGGAGGATGAGGACGAAGATGAAGAGGATGAAGATGATGAAGAGGAGGAAGAAGAGGAGGACGAAGATGATGATGATGATGAATAAGTCTCTTTTAGAGCAATTTCTTTCTTGTCTATAAAGCATTTAACCCCCCTGTACACAACTCACTCCTTTTAAAGAAAAAAAAATTGAAATGTAAGGCTGTGTAAGATTTGTTTTTAAACTGTACAGTGTCTCTTTTTTTGTATAGTTAACACACTACCGAATGTGTCTTTAGATAGCCCTGTCCTTAGTGGTATTTCAATGGCCACTAACCTTGCCTGGTACAGTGTGGGGGTTGTAAATTGGCATGGGAGTTATAAAGCAGGTTCCTGTTGGTGCACAGCACAAATTTAGTTATATTTGGGGATGTAGTTCATTTCTCATCTTCAGTTGTCTCTGATGCATCATAAAAAATAATTGTTGTTCTGTTAACTGAATACCACTCTGTAATTGCAAAAAGGAAGAAAAAAAGTTGCAGCTGTTTTGTTGACATTCTGAATGCTTCTAAGTAAATACAATTTTTTTTTTATTAGTATTGTTGTCCTTTTAATAGGTGCCCTTGAGAATCATACTTTTTTTTTTTTTTCTTTTTTTTTTTTTTTTTTTGAGGGGAACTCATCTTTTGCTTTATTGAATGCCCGTATGGGATCACGGGAATATTACAGTTTTCATCTTTCATATAACCAGCTGATAAACAAAGCTTTGATCTGCATACCCTGCATTATCATGATAGGGTAAGAAAAGAAATATATAGGCATATGATGAAAATCTTCCATAACTGGAAACAACAAAAATTCAATCTCAGCAAACTCCGGATACTTGTTCAGATTTTTGTGAAATGTAATATTCTATTGCGTTGCATGAGTTTACCAGTCTTGGAGAGTTGAGAAGTATAGAGTTCAATTTTACAGAAACTAAATACTTTGGGGGGTGGGGAGGGAGGGAATGTTAAATTTTGTCCTAGAAGGACCCATAGGAAGAGTGTATGTCCATCTGGTGTAGAGAAATTTACACGTGTGACTCTGTTACCATGTAATGGAAGTTATATTTGTAAATCTCTGAACACCTGGGAGTGATGAGCGTACCTAAAATGTGTAAAGTTAAAAGCATGAAATGACCATATTATTTTTTGGTGACAGGTCTGGTGATGGCCATGGGCTTTATACCATGAGACTCCTGGTAGCAAAGGGCCCACAAGAAATGATTTTTCTTTCTAAGATTTCTATAAATGGTACCATTATTATTTGTTAAATCTATGTAAATTCATATTTGTATTCTTGAAATTCTAGTTTTAGCCCTTTAAACAAAGTTGTATATTGTCTCAAATTGAAAATGAGATAAGATGTATTTTTCCTGTTAGGTTTTATACCGCACTCTTGATGTTTGCCCATTTTTAAGTTAAATATAGTTGTATGGAAAAGTACATTTTATTAAATTTTGCATTAAAAAGTTAAATGTTTATGGTATACCAACAATGTCTAATTTGGTCAAATACAGTTCTCTTCCAAAACCAAAGCTAAGGGGTTTTTTGCATATTTAGTAAAACTTCAAGTGCTGGCAGCTGTAACTATTTTCACATATACCTGCTTACCAGTCTGGGGGACAATTCGGCAATTTTGTGGTTGCAAAATTATGGTTCTCTTAAGTGCCAGTGTTTAAAAACAAACAAAAAAAAGCATTCTTGTAATTTTACACGCTTTTGTGATGGAGTATTGTTTTGTTATACAATTTTGACTTTCAGATTCTTATTTCAATTTGCATTTATGTATAACTTCAGGAGAAATATTGAACATCTGAAATCCTGGATGATACTAATAAACTAATAATTGCAGAGGTTTTAAATACTTAGTTAAATGGCTCACTTAATACCCTAAGGATTTGGGGCTTTTTGTGTGTGTTGGTGTTCTCAGATGTGTACATCCCTGCTTTCTGTTCCAAGCAGAAGAATGATGCTGTTTGCAAGGTCTTGATACAGAAAGGGTAGGACAGACAGACTTTCTTTGTCTCCTTAAACTGGATATTACACATTCAAATGCTCTTAACCGATGACAAATAAATTTTCTTTGCTGAAGGGTTTTTTTGTTTCCCCAGGTCATCAGAGGAAAGTAGACACATTTCTTGTTCTTGGAACAAGCATACTTAATGAGATCCCCCTAATCTTGTGCCTTTGTTCTCGGTGCTTGATGTTGACAGAAGTAACCGAGAGGATTCAGCTGAACTTAAAAAGGAGTAGTGAGCGCTTGCCTGGCAGCCAGGCCTGGCCTTTGCCTTGCCTTCAGCACGTGGGTAACACAGTGTGCTCCAGGCCAAAGAGGGTAGGTAATGTAATTATCAGTGCTGCTTGCTGAGGAAGGGAGCCCCCTGTATCTCACTGCAGAGGCCAGTGTTGGGTGGGAGATGCCCCAAAGCTTCCCCAGGTCTCCAGAGTGGCCATGGTTTTCTCAGGAGCACTCGCTAGGTGCCTGTAATTCAGCTGAGCCAGCACGTGGATATTGGGACTGAAGTCTTTGCTTGTGTCTGCTGTAAAACTGTTCTGAAACAGTGGAAGTGTTCTTCGCTGAAGAGGAATGCCATAGGGAGATTAATTGCCCTTTTTAAGGAAGAGCTGCTGAGGGTTGTTACTGGAAAGGACCTTCCTGTTCCGCAGCTGTGCTCCCCTGCAAGCTCCAGTGGTTGAATAAATCCTCTTGGTCAAAAGTGTCTGAGCCTCCTCACCGATCGGTCAGACTTGGCCACTCCTGGATTACTTGGTCGGAGGTCAGTCACTGATGGCACTTCAGCTTGAACCTGCCTCCCCTTGATCTTTAAAAGTGGGTGCCTGCTGTAGAAGAGGGATAATGAGCGGTGAAATTGCGACTGTTCAGGTGGTGGTTCCCCACAGGGGGCTGACAGCCTTGACATCACTATCAAAAACATTCTCGGCTTTAACCTTCATGTAAATGCTTGTTGCAGAGGTCAAGAAAAAGCTTTTCCTTTTCTAAACAACAACAAATATTGATTGGTCTGGAGAGAACTTGAATGTTAATATGTGGGAGTTACGATACCTTGAATGCCAAATGAAGCCAGACTGATGTTTATGTTTGTTTATTTGAGTTGGTCCTGAAAGGAGCCACTTAGATATGCTAGATATGCTCTGTAATTTTAAGCTGGTTTAACTAAATGTATGGACAGCGTTCATCCCTCCTGCCAAGCCTTCAGTGATCTCACCAGCTCTAGCAAAAAGCTGAGCTTATTTAACAAAATGTTTCTGTCCAGGCAAACGGGCCCCTGGAAACCTGAACTAAGGGGTGTGAAGTGGCTGATTTCTGCAGCTTAATTAGGACACTGCTGACACAGCCTCTTTACAGCTGCTTTTATCAGTGTAACCAGCCCATCCTGGAAAGAAAAGGCTGAGAAACAGCTGGATCTAGGCTTGCTGGAAAGTGGGAAGATGGATTTGAGTGATTCCTCCAGAAGAGGAGCCAGGTGGATTGCACAATGCCACAGCATTAGGTTATCTGGATGGGGGACAAGCCGAGCTTGGAAAAAACCTCTCCTAATTCTCACTAGCCTAAGGGTCAGACCTGCTGGTTAGAATAAACATTCCCATTCTGCCTTCCCAGCTATGCCTGACAGGAGATTAAAGGAATAAAGGCAATGTGCTGCGTTGGGTTATAATGAGTTATTCAATACAGAGTCTGTAATGGAGACATGGCAAAATACAAAGGTAGTGTTTAATTTTGATGATTAATTTTCACCATTTCCAGGCTGTGCGAGTGACAGCTGACCAGCTACAGGCTTTTAGGACTCAAATGTACCAATCATTTTATTAATCACTGTAAAATGCCAAATATTTTCAAGCATTCCTCCATTATATTCTTTAGCTTACGAGCCTGTACTTGTCTGCAGATCACATCTTTTTGGGGCACTTTAGCAGAAAATAACTGTGACATTTTCCTTTGGCAGGCTGCAGCAGACATTATTTTAGCACCTGAAATACATTCAGAGACATTTTACAAACATGCTAAGTCCAATGGAGTGCCTAAATGTGGGTGTGTATCAATAAACTTTTCCCCAGACTTAGCTACTGGATTGCGCTCTACATCTGAAAAGCACTTTGAGGTGGCCTTAATTTAGCTTAGTATAGATCCACTTTAAATTAACACCAGCCTTTATTTCAAAACAATGTACTTGCAGGCAAGCTGTCAGACTCTATTCTATGTTTAAATAAGAAGAAGCAGGAAAAGTAAATCCCTGAGTTTTTTATAATTTTGCTGAAATTGTCTTGTATTTTTATTTTGTAAATGTTGTGTGTGCCCTGGCTTTTCTTTTGACAGTACTTCAAACTGAAAAACAAAGATGGATTTTTTTTTTCCCCAGTGAATTTATTATGAAGAATGAAGGTCAGATTCCTCTTTCAGCTGCTTTGTGCTGTTGAAAAATACAGTGTGGCTTCTGCTTCAAGAGCACCTAATTTTGAAATCCATCTTGCTGAAGCAATTGCTATTAGAGGTGACCCACAAGAGAGACGAGCCTTCCCTTTTGCCACTCTGTGATGGAATAAAAGACTAGAGTGATAAATTAGCTTAGTCTACCTGCTTGCCACATCAGAAGCTCCTTCCCTGCAGCAGGAGTGCTCGAGATCAAGCTAGGCAGCAAGAGGCAGAGCAGCACAGAGCAAGGAGGACAGACAGGCAAATGTGGGGTTTTTTTTAAACTACACCTTTTAAAATTTTGCCTCTATTGTTAAAAAGTGTTTGACTTAAATGACGGTCATTTGGCACAGAGGAAGTTTATCCACGTGCTTCCAGCAGCCTTTCACCTATTAAGGCAGCAAAAGCTCAATTCATGTATTTCTGACCTCCCAAAAGTTCCTCAGTAAAAACAGGAAGGACCAAGCACTGCAGCTTGAATGCCTGGAAAGGACCCATCTCCCTGCACATCTTACAGCAGCAAGAGGTCACCATGTAAATGCTTTTTCCAAGAAGCCATTCAAAAAATCAGGCTTATGGAGGGGAAACCGAGGACGTGTGCTGCTGTGTTTGGCAGGGGCATTTGTTACCAAGGATAAAAACAGTTTTGAAGAAATGTCTGGGATGACATTCCTGACCCCTCCTGCTCCTTCCCAAACTGAAATAAAGGAAAACAATGAAAATAATATTTTTATGGGAAGAAGTCTTCCTGGCCAAAATGCTGGGGTTGACCATGCTCTTCCTCATCCCGTCCCCAGGGAAAATTGTGCATCCCTGGAACACTGTGCAGCAACACTACAGATGGTGTGGGGGGCATTGATGGCAACTGGGGGGGTCAGTCCCAGCAGCCCTCTCCTTGCTGCCAGTTCACTCCTGGTGTTGGGGAGACAGTGAGTGTGAAAACTCCTGGGAAGAGCATCGGGTCATGCCTGGCTTTGAAACGCAGATGCAGAGGGAGCACGGGGCGGTGGGCTGCAAGTAGGGATAGCAGGAACCAGCCCTCTGAAAATTCAGCCACGCAGCTGAAAGTAAAATCAGGGTGCTCTTTAAAACAACTCCCAAATTTCTGTGGTGGTGATTCTTAGAAGAGAGAACTTTCTTGCAAGACGTGCGCTGGTAAATGATTGAATAACAGTGACTCATGTTTTATTATCAGACTTGACTGTAGCGGCGCTTACGCTCGCTTCAGATTTGTTGACACACATTTCTCCTGACGCCTGCCAATAAGGAAGATGCTGTGAAGCAGCACTGTGATGTAAAACTGGCATGGGAAAATGCAGGTGAGGGCTGATCACAGCCTGAGCCCCTTGGCACCGGCGCGGCTTTTGGGAAGAGAGGGATTGGGCTGGCAATTCCAGACATCGATGGAAAGGGCTGGTGGGTTTCTGCTCCGGGGCGCTGGGAGGCTCGGCACCCACGTGGGTTGTCGGGGCGTTTCCCAGGACTGATCCCTTAGAACCTGCCTGAGATTAATGTCTGGTCCCAGAGTCACACCCCGGAATGTTTAAGTGGCTCCCGGTGGGAGGCTGACAGTGAACGAGACCCCACCTCGCACCAGCCCTGCTGTATCTGAGTTTCCTTCCAACAGAGTTTCCTTTGAGGTGGAAGAAGGAAGCGATCTATTTTTGGGGAGCCTTCGCACCAGATGTTCGGTGATGGCAACGCTGTCTCCATCACTGCATGCTCTGCTTCCGCCCAGGAGCCCCCGGGCTCTGCCTGCCTGCCTCTGCCGCCGGTGACCCTGTCCCTTCTCCGGCCCTGCCTGACCCACTGCTGGCAGCCCTGCTCCAGGAGCAAGGAGTGCGTTCATCTCCCCCAGCTGCTGGGAGCTGGATCAGCATCCTCCAGGTAGGACAGCATGGTTTTCCTGCTGCCCCAGCACCCCCAGGCAATCGATGCCAGTCCCGTGGGGCCAGAGGTGCTCAGGGACACCCCAATACCGGGAGCAGCACTTGTCTTCCACAGAGGGGTAAACCACAATGTCGCTGCTGTCCCAGGGTACAACATTCTCAGGGTGTCTGCTGCGTGGGATAGATGTCCCTGGTCTGCTGGCCTCGACACTGGTCTTTGAGTCCCCTGTTCCTTCTGACGTGGGTTTTTCTTTCCATCTGAATCATTCAGTATGACTTTGGAGCACAATGGAGCTGTGATTTTTTTCGAAGCTGCCAGCCTGCAGGAAACAGAAGGTCTCTGAATAAAAGGGAGGCTCTTGTTACAACTTCCCTCTTATTTACTGTTCCCAGTAGCAGAGAAGTAAAAAGACAATGAATGAAATGGAGGATTAATCACGCGTAGCACTGAAATATAAACAAGGAGACAGCGTGTTCCAGAGCGCTGCTCCAAGCAGTGGCTCGTGCCCACAGCGTGCAGAAATCTCTCATCACTGAGATCTCCTGGATTTCATGAAAAAGGCCAGAAGAGGCTCCACAGGTGGTTTTTTAAAGGTAAACTAGCAAACTGGGTATTCTCCATGGACTTTTCTCTATTCAGTGCTCTCAAAACTTGAGATCAAGTTGATAACCCCTGTGCTTAATCACTGGTCCATGACTTTTGCAGAGGCAACTCCCTATTTTCCTACTTTTCTGTATTAATTTTAAAACAATAAAAGTTCAAGACAACTCCTTTGTCCCACAGAAGACTTTTAAAAATGCTTCAGAGAGAACGTACTGTGCTGCACAGTGTGTAGCTCTGCTCCTAAAAGGGGTATGTGATCATTAGCCTTGCTCCTTTTTCCGCTTGCTTTGGTTGCCAAACACCAAAGGATTACTAATCATGTTCCTTATTTATTTTTTTAATCAGAGATTTACCTGTATTTGATTTCCAGCTATAGATTTTGAGAGTTCACACCAACCTTTGCAAAGGTGTTGAGCTCCTCAAGTTAATTGGTTATAAATTAACCTTGGGAGGTTGGTTGTGTGAAGCAGATTTCTGTGCATGCAGCTTTGTGGAGGTTTTTAGTGAAGCAAAACAGAGGAAAGAAAGGTGGAAACAGGAATGCATGACACAATTCGAAATGCCTGTAATTAACAGTTGTTTTGTGCATCTGAATATCTGCATCTGTCAGGTAAGTTCTGTTGATTTTTTTGGCGTTGGGATGATGCATTTAATGTCAGGATTGAGGCAGAGTGCATAATTGTAAAACTGATGAGGAAGATGCTCCCCATCCTTATTCAAAAGCTCCAACAAACCACTCTAACTGTTCATTTTACAGTTCTCTTTAGAAAACATAGAAGAAAAACCTCGGGAAAATTTATTTGGGCCACCTGCAATAATAAAATTGAAGTGACCCAAGCCCAAAAATCACATCATGCATCTCCATGCGAGTATAAAAAGCCAGAGCATGGGATATATTTAAGCTAAAAACCAAAACCAGCCCATGCTGCTTAACTAATCTTTGCTGTAACCTTCTGCCCAGACTTTTCCTGGGACTGGGAGCCAGGGGCAGGCGCTGGGCAGACAGGAGCCCTGCCAAAGCCTCCTCCTGGCCTTGTCTCCCTGCCTTCCCAGGGGCTTTCCAGCTTGCACTTTGTTTCACTTTCTCTTTCTCCTGTGCAGGGCTGTGCTGGAAGGGTTGCAACATCCTCTATCAATTATTTACACTATTTGCATGGAAATTGTAACAAAATATATATTCTTTCTGATATTAGGATTATATTTTTCAAAATACTATTAAAGCCATGCTGGTGCTGCATTAAACTAGTTGGTGATACTCTTTTAAATGCCCTTTCTAAATACTTTTTAAGAGGGGAATTACATTAACCTCTCAGCTGCAGCTTCTGTGTTTACGCACAGCCTGAACCTGCTGGGTCAGGAGCAGAAGGGTGGCCCCTGCAGCTCCCACCACCCTGATCCCCTGCAGCCTCCAGCTGGTTTGATTTGCCAGTGGTTCCCTGGTAGGGAAGAGCTGCCTGGAGTCTTTGGTCACAGTATGAGTGCTTCCCAGACAGGTGCTTCTTTGCTTGCCTTTGGTTGTACCTATTTTAGGGTAATTAATAATAGAGAGCTCCTGAGCAACTCAAATTTAGACACTCTTTGGAAATCCTGATTAAAAAAAAATCTGGCAAGAGTTTGGGGTTGTTTTCCTTCTACCCACTATGGCAGAGGTTGGAGGATCTCAAGTCAGGTTGGGGGTTTGCTGCTGTGCCTGCTCTGGTTGCAACCTCCAGGTTTGGCAGCTCTGCCACTTCCCTGGGAAGCCTGTCCCAATGCTTGACAAAATGCTAATAAATGTTTTGCTGCTTTTTTTTTCCTCTTTCCCCATAACTTTTAAGTTTCAGCACAATACCAGCATATGTCAAAACAGAAACTGCAAAAGAAATTAAACGTGTGTGTAGCATACTCTGCTGGGTGCTCCCTAATAGTTTTGCAGGATCAGTGGAATAACAAGGTGCAGTTTTGCTCTGTGAAGTTTTGGCACCTCCCTGCAGCGCTGTTGGGCTTCCCAGGGCGCTCACCCAGAACACGAGCAAGCACCAGGGGAAGGAATTTATAGTGCTTTGCTGGCTCTTGGTCTTGGATTTGACTACTCTAGCAAGCCAATTACAATTTTATAAAATTGTCATTTGACAAGAGATTGAATGAAATAGATTATATATTGTGACAAGGTCTGAGGGTCTGTCCCTGCCAGGGTTCTCGCAGGCTTTAGTCTCTCTGCCAAGGCTTCTGTGTGCAGGACCTGTGGCCAGAAGCCTTAAATCTCAACCCTCAAAGTTAAGGGGAATTTCTAAAAGGGAAGGTGTGTGCTCCATGGCTCACCCAGCCAGGACGAGAGGGAGCACAGGGAGAGGGGTGCAGGTCCTGCTCCCTGTCCCAGAACCCTGTGCCTCACCCCTTCTGCGTCCCCCTGGGTGCTGCAAGCAATAGGAGTGGTGACAAGTCCCCAGCATTCCGGGTATTTGATCCGAGGAAATCACCAGTCAGCCAGGAAATGTCAAAATTACGTCACATGCCTAATCTTTTAAAGCCCTGAAAAGGAGCTTGTTAAAATCTGTGTCTCTGCAGTGTGATCCCAGTTCCTTTCATTTTTGCTTTGCTCTTCCACTTTACGGGAACAGGCAGGCAAATCCTCCTCCCAGATATCATTTTACTTTTTCCTCCCTTTGACTTACAGCACTGTTGTTTGCCACGGCCTTGCCACTCACTGGGCTGGAGGAGCAAGTCCCCACTTTGCTGGGCCCCCAAAGGGAAGATATTGTGATGCCCAGGGCCTGTGGGGACACAGCCATGGCCCAGCTTGTCCACACTGGGAAAGAAGGGAGAGGAGGTGGGAGTGGAGCTGCCATCCCCTCCCCTGATGCTTGCTCATGTTCTGGGTGGGCGCCCTGGGCAGTCCAACAGCGCTGCAGGGAGGTGCCAAAACTTCACAGAGCAAAACTGCACCTCGTTATTCCACTGATCCTGCAAAACTATTAGGGAGCACCCAGCAGAGTATGTGACACACACATGTTTAATTTATTTTACAGTTTCAGTTTTGATATATGCTTGATGTGTTTTTACAAAACAAAGATTTATTGGAACCTGGGATTTTAAGACTTTAAGGTTTGCTTGAGTCCAGATTGTGAGTTTCTCCTTTTAGAAGAGGAGGGAAAGGTTTAAAGGAACCCATCTGCCTGTGGCAATTATGAAACCCTAGGCCAAGGATGACACCTTGTCCCTTAACTTCTACTATAATGTCAAACAAAAATTTACCATCAAATATTATGCCTTCCATATGCAATGCCCTGCTGTAGATTTAGATCACAGCAATTGTGTTGGGCTTCTCTCTTTCAAGTTTTTATGTGTGCCATAAGGAAGTCAGGACTCAGTGTAGGGTCCAAGGAGCAGCAGCAAGGCAGGAAAAACCCAAACCATACATGACAATGTGCCTTCACTTGTGCTCTTGATTTTTCTTGTAAAAGCACAGTGATGCCCTTGCTGCCTGCAAGGCTGAGGAAAGCAGTGTTTTTTAGAACACAGTGCCAGTGTCAGCCAGCTCCAAGTGCTCTGGTAGGAAACAAGCAGCATCCAAGGAAGCAGAGCCTGAGTCCAGCTCTCCGGTTACCACGGCATAAGTAAACAAACAAGTTTATCACAAGTAATGAGGGCATTGTGCCAGTTTCAGTTAAAATAATGAAATAAATAAAAAAGAAATCAACCCCAAACCAACAAATCATTACAGCATGAGGAAAGTCCTGAATGAAATTGATTGTTCGTGCCAACACCAGAAATATATCTTGTCATAAACTCGGGCCTCCACATCTGCTTCAGCACCAGCGGATTCTTTACAAACAGCCTCTTTAATTTTATCTAACAGCCTGTTAGCAGACATGGAGTCCAAAAATACATCTCCTTTTCTTCCTCGCACTATCCTGAGCTTGGCAGGGCACCAAACATGAGGTTCAGCTCGTAATTCAAAAAAGCCCTTCTTTAAGCATTGACTGAGCTTGATTTAATAAAAATCCTGTCCAGCTTCCTCCGGGCAGCCCTAATGGGATGCAGAGCCTGGTGCTTCTCAGGGGCTGCTCCAGACCTGCTGTGTGCTGGCCAGTGAGATTTTTTTGTGGTGAAACAATATTGCTCTGCGGTGCAGTTGGGGAACAGGCTGGTGCTCTCCAGAATGTCTCCCCCGAGGGTGCACAGCTTCACTTTCAGCCATGCCACCCTCTGAAAATGGAAGTGAGCAGGCAGCACCTTAGAAACAGAGCAGGGCCACAGCATGGGATGTCCTGGTGCCCCTGGTAGCCCCAGGGATGCTCCAGTGCCACTGGTACCCAGCCCCCTCCCACTGGCCCTGCCTTCCCCAGGGGAAGGAGAGAAAAGCATCAAAGACCCTAAAGGGACTGCCAGCCCCTGAGCTCTCCTGGAGGAGATTTATCCATTGTGTCCCCAGTGTGGCACTGCCAAGCACTTGTAGGTGCTCCTGAAGAAAAATTGGGCATTCACTGAAAAAGAGGGGGTGTTGCACTGGGGCTGGTTCCCAGAGGGTAGCCCTGACACCAGAAGCAGGACAACCACCTTCACACTTCCTGACACTGGTGTTCCCAAGCACAACACGGATTTTCTGGCTGCTGATTGCTGGGAAAGTTTGAAGGGACACTGTCTGACTTTTAATGCCAGGACAAGAGTGGCTGACGTCACCTTAGAAGATGAAACACATTCCTGCTGTGAGGACTGCACCGAATTACAGATCCA